CACTGCTGGGCTCCGCGACTGAGTATGGACCAAGTGGGGCTCCTTGTGCCAGTGGCCTGTCCGTGATTTGCTAGCAGGGCAGAGCGGTCCCCCTCATCCTATCAAGTGCCGTGTGTTCCTAACAGGGACCCTCCGGGAGGATGATCACCTCTCTTCTGATCTTGCTGAGGACATCCGCCATCCCACACTCATCAAAATGACCAAACTTACCAGCAAGGAGTCTGAGAATCCCTTCCCAGTCTGGCCCAATTCACCCTTAGTTTCCTACTGCTCTTTTTACAAATGACAACAAACCTAGTGCCTTAAGACAGCACAGATTTATTATATGACCATTCCAGGGCTCAGAAGTCTGAAATAGGTTTTACCCGGCTAAAGGTGCTGTGCTGTAGAGCTGTGTCCCTTCTGGGGGCTTTGGGGGAGAACGCACCCATTCCCTTCCCAGGATCAAGGGGCCACCTGTGTTCACGCCACTCGGACTTCTGCTTGTTACAGCTCCTTCTTTGACCCTCTTGCCTCCCTCTTGTGAGGCCCTCAAGATGACGCTGGACCCACCCTATAATCCAGGATCATCTCCCCATCTCAGATCCTTAACTTTTTCACATCTGCTGAGTCCATTTTGCCAAGTAAGGTAACATATCCCCAGATTCCAGGGATCAGGACCTGGACATCTCCGGGGTCTGTTTTTTGGTCCATGACACCGATCCTCCTGGGTTCATTTCCCGCAACTTTCCTTTCCAATCCACTGTGTATCCCTAGCATATGCCAGGTTCCTTGTGCCTTCACAAACGCAGGTCCCTCTGTTGTAGTCAGTGACGGTGCAAGGTAGTGGTGAAGACATCTAATTCTGGAGTCAGACCGTTGCGGCTCAAGTCTGAGTCTTCCAATCACTCGCTAACTGGATTTGGGCAAATAGTTGTTGTTGTTGTTTTGACCTAGATCTAAATACCAGATTACAAGGAAGCATTACCGAAATGCAGACTGCAGAATGTTCTGCAGGCACCAAAGGCCTGGTTTTTTGGAGAAATCCCTATTTTAAAGGGTGGTGTGTCAGGGGGGAGGGGATCGTTTAAAAGAATAAAAGAGACAATAACCAAATTGGATGCGTAGGCCCAGGCTTGGATGTGGATTTACCATCAAAAGGCATCTGTGGGACAGGAAATCCGAATCTAAACCAGTGCGCAGAGGCTCATGAGGGATTATAAGTGTACTAATGGCATGCTGCTAAATATTCCTGAAGTTTTTCTGGAGACATACACCATAAATACAGCGATATATTCAAAAGTACCCTTTCAAAGCAAAAGGACACTATATTTGGGATCTCTTTAAAGATGTGCTGAGAAAAAAGGAAAGGGGAGGAAACGAGATGGCCAAAACGTTAACCGCTGAAGCTCAGTGACTGGCACCTGGAAGGTGACATTATTCTACTTTTCCACTCGAAATCTTCCTCAATGCGTCTCTGTAAAAATAAATCTCCTAGGAAGCTGTTCTTTCCCAGGCTCTGCCAGAAAGTCAGTGGTCCCTCTCTCCACCCCCCGGAACGGTCAAGGCAGGGAAATGCCGCCCAATCACTCAGGCCGCCAAGCAGGTGCGGGGCCGGGCAGGTGCGGGGCTAGTCGGTGCTAGGCTAGGCAGCTACTGAGCTCGGCAGGTGCGGGGCGAGGCAGGTGCCGGGCCTGGCACGTACCGAGCCCGCAGGTGCGCGGCGAGGCAGGTGGGCGGCGAGGCAGGTGCGGGGCGAGGCAGGTGCGCGGCGAGGCAGGTGCCCGGCGAGGCAGGTGCCGGGCGAGGCAGGTGCGGGGCCGGGCAGGTGCGGGGCCGGGCAGGTGGGCGGCGGCGTGTAGCTGCGAGGTCGGGACCAGAAGCCCTGCCGGGACGGGGCGCCCGCCGATGCACCTGTCCCAGCGGCGACCTCCATCTGCCCTAAAGGAACCCAGTTCCTGCACGTGGCACGCGACGGCGGCGGCGCGCGGGGAAACCCCGCGGGGGCGCTTCTGACGGTCGCCGGATGGCGGCCGGCTCGCGGGCCGGTGTGCTTCTTCCTCCGGCCGCCTCAGTCTGCTCGACGTGGGCTCCGGACCGCGCCGCCCAGGGCCTTTCCACGCACCCTCACCGGCCGCGAGCGCCGTAGCCGCCCGGACCCCGGAAGCCACGCCCGGGCGGGTGGGAAGCCGGGTCCCCTCCCTCCCCACGCCCAGGACACTTCACCTCCCGCCCTCTCGACGCCCTTGCCGGAATGTCGAGATTGCGCCTGCGCCGGGGTGGTCGCACGGCATGCAGCCCCGCCCGCACCTCGCTAAAACTCGCGATACCTCACCCCTCCCGCCGGCCCGCCCACCCCAACGGCCCGGCCGACCTGGAAAGTTCTAAACCCCTGCGCACGCGCTCTGAGGGCCTTAACGTCCGTGCTCCGCCCTCCCGTGGCCACGCCCCTTTCCGCCAGGGAGGTTCCCGTCGCCGCGTCTTGCCAATCATCCACTCCTTCCCTCGGGCGACCTCGCAACAGGTCTCTGATTGGCTGGTCCTGAGAGCCTACGCCGAGGAGGGTCGGTGACGATAGGCTGTGAGCCGGTCCCGCCCACCGGCGGTTTGCGCGGGAGGCAATTGGCTGGCGCCTCCGTCCAATCAGCGGTGGGCTGTCGGATTCAAACCGGGATCGTTGGGCCTGTGGGCGGTTGGTCGCAGTCGAATCGTTGCTTTGGCCGGACCCGGACGTGTGGCCCGCTGCGCCCGCTCTTTGCGCCCCGTCGCTCCCGCCCGCCCGCAGGATGGCCCACAAGCAGATCTACTACTCGGACAAGTACTTCGACGAGCACTACGAGTACCGGTGAGCGGGGCCGGCCGGCGGGGCTGCCTCAGCCGCGGAACCGGAACCGGGGCCGGCGTCGCAGCGCGTCAGGGCCCGAGGTCGAGGTCGGGTCAGGGGGCGGCCGGGGCGGCCGCGCGGGGCCCGGGGCCGAGGCGGGCGGCCCGCTGTTCCCCGCCCTTTGTTCGCGGCGGCGAGCGGGGCGGGGGCTGCGGGGTCCGCTCCCCTCCGTCGCCCGCCGCCGCCCGGCAGGGGCTCCCCCGGGCTCGGTGCGGGCCCTTGCGCTGGGGCGTCTGGCACCGCCCGACGCGTCCCGGGGGCCGGGCGGGGCCCCGGGCAGGGGCTCCGGGCGCGGTCGGGGCGCCAGGGCGCAGCCGCCGGTGGCTTGGCTTTTGTGCGGCGGGGGCGTGCGCGCCGCGGGGCTTGGCGGGCGAGGGGCGGGAGTCGGGGCGGCGGCCCCGCGGAGGTGCGGGTGCCGGCCTAGGGTGCGCTTGCACGTTCGATGCGTGCGTGTGTTTTACTGATGCGCGGGTCCTTTTGTAAATGCGGGCAGGTTTAGGCCTGCCGAATGCTGCCCGGGTCGAGTTATCGGAGGGCTGTGCGCGCTTAAGCCCCTAAAAGCCGGAGATGAGCCTTCTCCGGGTTCTCTCCGCGGTGAGCCGTCCGCCCCCTGGAAGGTACCTCGGGTGGCCTGAGGCGCTCCGGCTTCATTGCCCACCCCCCCGGGCCCCTCCGCGCCCCCCCAGCAAGCCCGTCGGAGAAACAAACGCCGGACTGGGAAATACCTTCCCGGCCTGTAGTTAGGAAACGGGCTCGACGTGGAGTAGAGGTGGAGTTGCGTGCGTCTGGAGCTGCCGAGAACTCCTTTGGGGTCGAACCGCGACGAAGGTGAGCCTGTCCCCCTGAGTAGTGGCAGCGAGGGGCTGTGCCTTCCGGGTGACACGGGGGTGCGTTCGGAGAGCGGTACAGAACGTGAGTCCACAGCCAGCCAGCGCGGCAGAGCTCTTTGGGGCTGGTGGGGAGCTGACGTAGAGGGTAGACGGGAGATTATTTGCAGAGTCTTCAGGGTAGGTGTTGGAGCCGCGTTGCCAGGTACCGCACGAAACACGCGTTAATTGGCTGTTACGTCATCAGTAGGCTTTGTTTGGGTCAAAAGTTGGCGCTCTGAGTTTTGGGGGAATCACGTTATACGTGGGTTTCCATCCGCGCAGGGTGTCGGCGCCCCAAACCCCGTGTTGTTCAAGGGTCAGCTGTCGTTCACTGGAATTAGTAAAAATAGTACGCATAATTTCATTTGGTGGCCTCACGGCAGATCTAGCAACATGATACAGTTGCTCTGAGGTTCCCTTTTTTTGTGTAAATAATTGGAGATGGGTATTTAATTCACCAGCCACACACTAGAGTTTAAGTTGGTGACTGTTCAGTGCTTATATGGGTTATGGGTTCCGTTTTCTTTTGTGCCAGAAAGTGTGACTGACCAGACTGCGCCTTCCTCATATCCAAAGCCAAAGTCAGTTGACTCTCCGGTAGATCGATGTTTTATACTGGTCAAAAAATGTGGTTAGTGGTTGTCGATGACGGTATAACTTTACTGCTACTGGAAATGGTAAAAATGGGTCTGGGAATTGTGATTTACAAAGAGCTTTTTGCTGCTGCTAAGAGGGGTGCAGGCTTGTCTTTAAGAATTTTTACAAAGCTACAATTGTGCACGTTATTGATGTTTTGACATTGAAGGAGTATTGCATGTCTTCTTAAAAAAAACTTAATACAGTTTTGGATATAGGTCATATCCAAAGAATAGAAGATAGTTATTTATGGATAGAAGTCAGTAACTTATTGGGAAACTGAACGTCTTTGTGCTAGGTCGCCAGGTACACGTATATACGTGGGACTTGGGTTTGTTTTTTGCTTTTTATTTGAACAACAACTTGTAGAGTATGCAAGGACTCATCTACTACAGATCTATAATGTTGAGTAATGGGAAACCACAAATTAACTGTAACAAATTAGTTTTTCCTATTACGTAAAAGTCTACATGGGTCTGGGATGTCAGTTTTACAATCAGGAACCATCCTCAATTTACGCTTCTGTGGTCTTAGATGGCTGCTCTGGCTCCCTGATCATATTAGTCTGCTTCATAACCCATTAGGGAAGAACAAGGAAAAGAGTTGGGCATGTTCTTTCCTTTTGAAGACCGTTTCCATAAGTTGCATATTCTTTGCTTGTATCTTATTGACCAGGATTTAAGTCACCAGAGATAGCTGTATGGGAGGCTGGGATGTTTTGGATAACCATGAGCCCAACTTGGGTTTGGGGATTCTATTCCTGAAGAACATTGAAACAGCAAGCAGTCTCTTAGAGAAGAAAAGGCAAATCCTAAACAAAATGCTTTCTGCTTTTGGACTGTATATTCTTCCTGTTTTTAACATTAGGCCATCAAAAATCAGAATTAAAGGTAGTAGACAGCCCTCAAGATTGATGCCAACAGTAATGTAACAAGAGTTGCTTTAAAGATCTTTGATTATTTTGAACTCATGTATTAAGTATCCTAAAAATGCATTTATAAAGTGATGATAATTGTAGGAAAGGTATATTTGTTAATACTCGGCTCTATCTCTTAACAGGCATGTCATGTTACCCAGAGAACTTTCCAAACAAGTCCCGAAAACCCATCTGATGTCTGAAGAGGAGTGGAGGAGACTTGGTGTCCAACAGAGTCTAGGCTGGGTTCATTACATGATTCATGAGCCAGGTAGGTGTTTCCGTTTAGGAAAGCATCAACTGAAATAAAAAAGTAGTAGTGGTTGTGGTTGTTGAAAATTGTTAAGTAATATTGACATTCAGTGGTATTCCCAAAGTAACCCTGGTTAAGTTTGACTTTCTTGGATGGCTGATTCCTTTCTTCCCTAGGAAGAATTCCAATTTTGTAGTAAATAATACCACATGAGTGAAAGTAATGCATTATTCTACCTGCAGAAAGGTAAGGAGTTAAAAAAGTCAATTCCATTTTATTTTAAAAAGTGTCATTATTAATAAAGTATTTTGCTGTAAGTATAACTCTGGTGTCCTGTCTCTGAAAACTGAGAACTCATTTTAAGACATCTTAAGTGTCCTTAAGTTCTTAGCGTAGAAGTTAATGCAATTTGAAGTAATTTGTCTTTTCCTTTAGTATTCTATTAAAAGATAATTGGGATCTACCACATTAAGGTGAAATAAGGTAACTTAGTGAGTGAACCTTGTTGTGTTATGTTGTTATGAGTGGTTGTATTATTGTGTGGATTTTACCGGAGTTTCCCATTTACGAAATGGTAAACTAAACTTGTGGGGTTAAATTCTGCTTTTGCATTATCAGTAAATAAATCAAACTTAAACAATTTATAATGCTTTGAGCAAAATTTGAGGGCATGCTATAGAAACCGAATTAGGTGGAACTAGAGCTTGTTTTCTGCTCTTGTTAAAGAAAAGCAGCAATAGCGTCGGAAACTGACTTAAAACTTTCTTGGGATTGGGGGCATTTAATTGTATTGGGGTTCAAAAGCTCTTTCTCCAGCTAATACCAGAGCACATGAGGAACTTAACTCTAGAATCCTGGGCTCCCACCTAATGAAACAATCTTTGGGAATGGGCCCCCCGGGATCTGCACTTTTTACGGGCTGGTGGTTTTTGAATTTGGTGTTAGGTGTCTTTCCTTTTCATTGGAATTGAGATTCTAAAGGTAGAAACCATTCTCCCCGAAGTGGCTTCTCTACTTAGCATCTCTTTTTTCCAGGGTAGGTGAAACTAAATAAAACACTGGCACACTGTGGGGAATGTCATCATCAGGTGGTTTTCTTCTGTTTATAGTTGACAGTGACTTTTGAAGCAGAATTTATTTCAGATATTTCTATAAATGACAGTTGATCATGGATTTATTTTGGTTTAATTGAGAATTTGGAATTTTGGTTGAATGAATGGAACTTAACCATACTGTATTAAAATTATATAAAATATTTTGTTTCCACAGAACCACATATTCTTCTCTTTAGACGACCTCTTCCAAAAGAGCAACAAAAATGAAGTCTATCTGGGGATCGTCAATTAAATCTTTTTCACATTTAATGTATATGTGTATATAAGGTAGTATTCAGTGAATACTTGAAGAATGTACAGACTGTTGATCCGTACCTGTGCATGAGCTGTATTCTTCACAGCAACAGAGCTCAGTCAAATGCAACTGCAAATAGGTTACTATAAGGTGTTTAAGATAAAATTTCTTCTAGTCGGTTTTTCTCTTAATATAAGTGCCTGTTTGACTTTACCTGTTACTTTTGTTAAATAAAGTTTGTATGTTGCATTTATTATTGAAGTTTTTGGGGGTTTATTTTCTTAAGGTTGACTTGTGTCTATCGAGGTTGTTAGATGATTTCAGTTCTACAATTTTGGTCTGGAGAAAATAAATTTACTTTAAAGAAACAGGATTAAATGGGTTAGAATAGCTTGGTTTGGGGAGGGTACGACTTAATTCACTTACGAAGAAACAGTTTAATGGAGACAGTTCATAACTCTTGCTGGTTTAGTTCCTGGAGACTTGTGCAGTTGTGTCTAAGGACCAGCACATCTAATGGCCTTGAGGGAAACCATTATCCCGGTTTCTGTTTTACTCCATGTGCCAAGTAGGGGTAATGTTTCCTATAAATAGCACAGCATTTTAAAATGTAAAACACCATTCCATACATAGTTTGTGTCTGCCTGTAAACTGTCTTTTTAGCTGCTAAAGAAATGTTCCTGAATTAATGCAAACATAGACAGTCTTATCTGCTGTGCTGGGGAGAACTGTGAAGTGAGCTGCCCGTAAACACCGGAGTCTGGTGGTCGGTCCTCCGTACGCTCCTCTCCTGAGAGAGGGGTGTCTTTATACAGAAACCGGACCGGAAACGCTCCAGGTGGTGCAGAGCAGCAGCCCGGAACTTACTTCTGCCCGCAGGGGCCCATCCCCTACAAGTCCCCGGCGTGCTCGCCGGGGAGGGGAGGCTCAGGGGTTGCTAAGTCAAGGGAGCCGGGGCCCCGCGGCAGCCCCCAAGGTAACCGCCGCCCGCCAGGCCTGTCGGGCGTGTTCAGGCATGTCTAGCCCACCTGCGGGTCCCACGCGCGAACACCCGGGGGGGCGGGGGCACTGGGCGCTGCCTGCGTTTGCCGCTTTGAGCGGTACCTAGTAGTGAAGGACCCAGGCCTCCCTGCGGGGCAGCGCGGACCCGCCCAGCCCGCATGCCTAACCTGGCTCCCGGGCCCGTGCTCCCGCGGACCCACCCTGTCCGGCCCCGCCCAGCCGCACCGCTCTTCACGGCAGCTGGAAGGGTGCTCCAGCCCCTGGCCGCTGACCGCACCGAGTCCTCCTGGCCGCCTGGGCCTGCGGTCCACGCGCTCCGCTTCGGGCGCTCCCGGCCACACCGCATCCCGGGGCTGAGCGCCGCCTCTTCCGGGGGGAAGGCCGCCGTCGGTAGGCGGGGCGTGGCCGTCGGTAGGCGGGGCGTGGCCGTCGGTAGGCGGGGCGTGGCCGCCGGCGCGCGCCCTTCCGGCCGGAAGTGGGGGACGCGGGGCGGGCCGAGGCGCGTTTCTGTGACGCGCTTCCTGGCGTCCGCTCCGGAGACGGAAAAGCGGGCCGCCGGAGCGCCGCGCGTCTGTACCGCCAGCCGACGGGGCGGCTGCTGGCCTCCCGGGCCGGGCCTCCTCCGAGCCGCGCGCCATGGCGTCGGAGGGGCCTCGGGAGCCCGTGGGCGAGGTGAGGACGGCGCCCCGCCGTGGGGGCGGGCGGGGGAGGCCGCAGGCGCCGGCTCGCCGCGCTCGCGTCCAGGAGCTCCGGCGAACGTCGGCTGAAGCGCCGGCCTCCGCTCGGCCGGCTCGGCAGCGCCGCTAGATGGAGCCCCGGCGGCCGCGCCGGTCGGCCCTCGAGCGGCTTCCCAAAGTGTCAGAGTCCGGCTCCCGGGGCGGCTCTGACGCCCAGACGAGCGGAGTTTACGTTCCGACCCCAAGGCTCTGTGACGGCAGAACGTCCTCCTGCAGGGCTCGCTTATCTCTCCAGCAGAACAGCTCTCGGGTTCGCCGAGCGCCAGGCGAAGGGTTTACGTAACCCTTCGTTTCTGAGAGATTTATGGAGGTAAACCTCCGCAGTGCGTTTGAGTCAGCCCTTCCGCGGCAGCTTTCGGTTCTCGGTTTTCCGTAGCTGCAGCGGGGGAGGTGACACACCTGTACTGCAGGCTAAGGCTGAGGGACCGTTGTAAGTTGTCCTGACTGTCCCCTGGATGGGGTTTTATTTCCGCTGTCATTGCTTGCCCCCCCCCCCACCTCCTTTAATATTTAGTAGCCCACTTTCAGCGAAAAACCCCTGGGGGACAGGTTGTTAGCAAACAGATTCTCGCTTTTCTGAGGTTGCGGTCTTTGAACAACAGACACTCCGGGGACTGGCATTTCTGGGACTGCTAGAACCCGGCGGCTTTCCTTGGGGTTTTTGTTCACATTTTTTTTTTTTTTAAATTTATTTGCGAGAGAGAGAATGAGAGACAGAGAGCACGAGAGGGGGGAGGGTCAGAGGGAGAAGCAGACCCCCCGCCGAGCAGGGAGCCCGATGCGGGACTCGATCCCGGGACTCCAGGACCATGACCCGAGCCGAAGGCAGTCGCCCAACCGACTGAGCCACCCAGGCGCCCCTGTTCACATTTGCTTTACCTCCAAATGTATGCAGTCACCCTCCTCCCCCCACTTCTTCCCTCAGGGCTTCAAGTTGTCAGCAGATGTCAAACCATTTGTCCCCAAATTTGCTGGGCTCGGTGTGGCATGGTCAGAGTCTTCGGAAGCACGTGTGTTCCCTCGCTGTGCAGCCGCCTACTATCCGTGCGTTCAGGAGCTCCCTGTGCCTGAGTACGTATCCTCCTCAGTGTCTCGCCTTCCCTGGGGGCTGAATGGGGATTGCGCTTTCAAGTACGCTGCACCTAACACGGTCAGTGTTCTCAGGACGACCAGAGGATGGGACGCTCCTCAGCCAGGAATGGCCTGAGGCAGTGGCACGACTTGACCGTGTCCTACGCCAAAAACGGAAACCTCAACTCTCCATACTCACGCAGTTATTTTGGGCAAAGAAGGTGTGGAGTTGCATTGCATTCACTAGTAAGAAGTGCAGTTTCAGGGTTTATTTGTGCATGGGATCTGGAACACATGTCTAACGGGAGATGAGATGGCTGGGCGTGTAGAGAGGAAACGGGGCAAAGACAAGCCCAGAGAAATCAGCATGCTCTGTGGTGGTAGGGTGTAACATTGTAAAATCTCGCTTGGGGAAGGAGGAGGAGTGGGGCTTGCAACCATGGCTGCTCTTTTGTTGGATAGTTCTTTGGAAATTGCTGAGTTTTGCTTTCCACTATTTTTCTTGAGAAATGTCCTGTGGAGGTGGATTCTAGAAGCTTCGGTTATAAAATTCTTCTAAGTTTGAGTTGAAAGAAGGCTTATGTTGGTTTTTCAATTTTCCTTCTCAAGTTTCATTCTTTAGGTATTTATACAGTGGTTTGCGTTAATAGCTGAATTTAGGAAAACGTGCGTTAAACCTTTCATGTAATTGTGTAGAGTACTTGGTAGACTTTTTAAAGGTATGCATCACCTTTATGCTTAGGTAAGAATCCTTGTCTTTGTGTTCCTTTAATATGGGTCATACTTGTTTCTTTCTCATGCCTGCGTAGTGTTGGTTGCATACTTGATATAAATTCTAGATTCGTATTCACAAGAATGAAACTTGAAATGAATAATAAAACCATCGAGTTGTTTGGTGTATATAGGTTGTATTTTTTGACAAAGTTGAAGTACTGCTTGTATGTGCTTTGCTAGGAATACTGAAGTTTTCCACTGAGATTTCATCCTTTGTTAAAGGAAGGTTGGCATGGGTCTCATTTGGGTTGTTCCCTACCTTGGGTGGTTCACAAAGTAAAGTTAAAATATATTTCACTCAGTGACAAGGATTCGAAGCCATCTGCTGGGTGGGATTCCAGTTACCCAAAATAAAGGTGGAAAACATTCTTACAGCTAAAGTAATGTTCTGGAAGTAGCATGAATCGAGAAGAATCAGAAGCTTAAGGATGTGCACTGCTGAATTTAAAAATTAGGTTTCTTAACCTCTTATCCTTTTTTAGCTTTGATTTAAAAAATAATTATTTATAACCAAGGAAAAGATTGGGTGACAATATTCCTGCCTAATGAGAAAACAGTTAAGGACAAAGGAGGCGTGAAAGCAGAGGGGCAGGGTTAAGAGGGACAGGAAGGAGCCTTTGAAGGGGACAAAACGGGGATACTTTACATATTTGAGAACCCATTACCTGGTCCATTCTGATCGAGGCTAAGAAGTCTGCTTGAGCCAGGTTTCCTGTAAATGGAGATCTCTGCGATGAAAAAACAGAGTAAGGAACTTAGGTTGTCTTTCCTGCCTGTCCCGCTGCCTGTCTCAGTCCATGAGGTTGGCAGGAGGTGTCATGTTATTTTTACACCTGAGAAACTGGGGCTGGAAACGTGTGTTCAAAGTCATTCAGGTAGGCAGCGCCCGAAGCAGAGTGACCGTCCTTTCTTCTGACCTGCACTCAGCCGGACTCCCCAAAGCTGCTTGCACCGCTGGCGACGACTGTTTGCTGAGCATTTCAGCGTGTTGTACTCTGCTGTCAGCTGTGGGCGCTTCTGAGTGGAAGTCTCAGCTGTGAGACCTAGTAGTCCTGGACGGAATAGTCCTGGCTCCGGTCTGTTTGGTGGCTGGAGGAGCTGCTGGAGCCTGACACGTCCTGGCCTGACGGCAGGGACTGGTGCAAGACTACTGGGGCGACTGTCAAGGACGAAGGACCAGGCGAAGTGCTTGGGGGAGCCCGCACGGTACAGCTGCAAAGACCAGGTGTGCTGGGTAGGAGGTAGGGTGCTGCTGGTCGTGTCCTGCACGGTGTCGGGACACTCACTCCTGGATTCTCATTCAGCTTGAAGGGAGAGGGGCATGAAGCCTCAGACTGGGTTCCAGGCACTGAAACTCGGGAAGGTATACATGGAGCCCTGCCGCCAGGAGAAAGGCTCCCGGGTGGTCCCTGTGGGTGGTGGCAGGAGAGAGGCTGTGGTGGTTTCTGGCTGAGTACGTGCAGAGTGGGGGCTGGGAAGAGGGGCCGTTTGGGGACCAGCAGCTCAGCTTGGACTCCAGTGCCGGTTAGGGAAGAGTGAGCTGTTGTGTGGGAACCACCTGTGGGTTGGAGAGTGAGGCCCGGAGCTGGCGAAGGTGCCCGACTGCAAGTACGTATGTGAAGTCTGAGCAGAATGAGGAGAGGTTTGGACTCTGAGTCTGACTGGAGAGAAAAGGAAAGTGCTGAGGAGGGCCCTCCACGGACGAGCCTTTGGAAGGGGGGACCGGGTTGCAAGTCCAGGCTGGTGGAGCTTTTCCGGTGGTCTGACAGAAGGGCCAGACCCGCAGATGCTGTGGCGAGGAGGCGACTGGGCTTGCAGGAGGGATGTCCTGGAGACTCGGGATGGTTGGTAGGGATGGGGCGGGGGGAAGTGGACACAGAGGTCAGTGGGTGTTGTGGGTACGGGGGAAGGCGGGGCGGCCTAGCTGCAGGAGAAGTGCTGCTAATATACAGGGAGGGGTGGGTGAGAAGGTGGGCGTACGGGCGTGTGTTCTGGGCTGGGGGTTGTCTGCGTAGTTTGTGGCAGCTGGAATTTTGCAGACAAGCTGCCTGAAGCCCCAGCGGATGCTGTGGGTTGTTGCCGTGAGATTTTACTGGGTGTTGTGCTCTGCATACAATTGTACTGGCCTTGAATGGAAAGCAAAAAACCAACTGCCCAGAGTAAGAAAGACCAGTGAGGACTTGTCCAAAGTGGAAAACTAGATTTTTGAATTGAGCCAGGGCCCAAACCGAGGGCTCTGGGTTCACGGATGTAGGGTTGCTGGATGACGGCAGCCTTCACAGCCGCTGGACCCTGCCTCCCTTTCCTTCTTTACCTAAATTTCATTGGTCTGTTCATTTATCTGGTTTTTGGACTTGGGATGCCATCTTTTTTGCCATGTTTTGCTATCAGCACCTCTTTGCCCACTGCCCTTGTGAAGAACAGATCCCCACCCCCCCCGCTTAGATTTTCTGAGCTTCCAAATAAAATAAAACAGGGATTCGCATTTGGGAACAGGATGATGCTTTAAATCATTTTCTTCTCTGCAAAGAATAGCACTAGGCCAGGTGTACTAAAAAAGTACAGTAAAAAGGGTTTTTCTTGGGTTTTCATTTGGAATAGTTCATTACTAGAGTTAGTGAATGATCTTCCTGGGTGTGAACTTACTGTAAAATATCGTGGGCTCAGAGACACCAATAGCAGGCTGTCCAGTTAGGTAGTGCATGTACGTGGATGCAGGGGACATTCTGGCAAGTGTGTTTCAGGTGTGGGTGGTGACACCTTTGTCCTGCAGCGCAGGCCCTTCCTGCCCCAGAGCAGAAATACTCTGTATTTAAGAGTGCTACCTGTGCCCGTACCTGCCGGCCACCCAGCCGTGAGAAGATTGTGCACGGTGGCTCCTCGTGAGCTCTCATGTTCCTGCCTTTCAGTGGACCAGCACCCTTTGGGATTCCGTTGATTTTCTACAAGAAGATTTTCAGCTCTGGGAAGTCACAGAAACATCTGCTGGTGCTCACTTGTGGGAATGAGAAGGGTGTGTTTTGTGTCTTAGCTCATCTGCTCGGCCATTTCGCCATTGTGTCGTCTTTCATTGCTAGAGGATTGAAGCCTCTGGCTGAATACCAAATTTGCTCACAAAATCAGTGTTCAATTATATTTTGGTTTAGCCTTAGCAGCTTGAGCAAACGGGCATGAGGGTGTCGCCAAATGGCACCTGTCTCGCCGGTGGGTTGCAGCTCCCAGGCCGCCATGGGCGCAGTGTCCCCTTCGCAGCTGTGGCCCTGCGAGGCCGAAAAGCACAGGATGTGGTGGTCGCACTGGGGGTCAGATGGGCCGGTGGCGGCTCTGTGAAAGCCCCCTCCGCAGGGAGAATGGTCTGGGTGGCCCTTTAGGCCCCGGGTGGCTGGGGGGGCTTTTGCAAACGTCTGACAGTGTGGGAGCACAGAGCTGCTGAGGCGTCCCTGGGCTTTGCTGCTGCACATTGTGACACCGTCCTGCCGTGGGCGGGCACCGGGCAAGAAAGAAATGCTGGGAGTTTTTATTCCACTATTGGAGATATCTCAGTGCCAGAACGAATGACCTCAAAATAATAAAGAGTTTAAACGTGCTTATTATAGACTAGCTCCTTGGTTTGTGGTATGAAATCCGCAACTAAAACATACCTTTCTTGTTTAGGCAGAAGCTCTATACTGAAGATGTGGCCTTCGGAGCTTCACCTTTCCCACCTCAGTATTTATCTTCTGAGCTTGCTCTTCATCCGTGCCGTTACTCTCCTTACCCCGTGGAGTGCTCACAGAGCGGCTGCCCAGTGCCCGGCTCCCAGTATGCTTGCGGCCGCCCCAGTGCGTACCGAGGTTTTCAGACCGTGAGGCCGCGAGGCGAGCAGATGTGCCCTGTCCCACAAGACTCAAAAGCTTTGTTTAAGGTTAGCATGCCGCCGTGGTGGTGGCTACTGTAGCGTTTAAAATGGAAAGAACTGGTAGGTTCTCACATGGTATTTAAGTATTTTTTATCTTTTTTGTGTATTTAAGAATTGATTTTTCTTTATTCTTTTTTGAAATGGTGGTTGTGAATCCTTATGGTTTTGCGATTTTAAGCCTTTTTTTAATGGTGCTAGTTTTCTTTAATTCATGTGAATTTTTAATTTTTCCTGCAGAAAAAAACATATGAGCAGAAGTTTGACAGCAAGAAGGCTGATGGATCTCTGTCATCTGATATAAAATCAGTTAGAGGTTCACATCCTGTGTCCATTCACGCTGATGCAAACTTGAAACCAGGTGAAAATGACAGACTTATCTGATGTTATATTGTCCTTCCCGGCCCACCCCAGAAAGGTTACTGTTCTTTGTACACCTGTTTCTGCGGAGGCCATTGGACTCTGAGGGGATTCTGGAGGCCTCTCCGCCCGGGGAGGGACCTGTTGCGGGCGGGGGGGGCTCTCTGGTGTGCTCTAGTTTGTGTAGGAAATGGCCCAAAGTCACATGGCAAGTCACATGGCAAGGTAACCCGCACAGGCCTCAAAACATGTCCTTAAGTAAATCCCAGCCGCATCCTCTGTACAGTATTTGACCATGTTCATTCCTGAAATAGCCTCTCTGGTGTTCCGTTGGGACACTTTTTAATAGGTGGAGAGTTTGTCTGCGGTTTGAATCCCATCCTGAGCAATAGCAAACCTGGGGCAGTGTAGTTAGTCGGGGGACATGTCTGCTCTGGCCTTGGAAACCACTGTTCCAGGCTATGGCTGAAAGCTAGTGATTCTGTGTGGTGTAAATTACGGACTAGTGCAGTTTGATGGCTTATTTATAAAAAGAGCTAAAACCTTTGTAATCGTGTATTTACTGGGAATGACCAGTTGACGTGGATGACTTACATTACTTGTTATGTAAGTTTTTCTCTTTGTGTTGACTTCACTCAGAAACCATTTGGCGCATGGAAGTTTGCAGGGCAAGTTGAACAGTTAACCGTAATGATTGGCTTCATGGCCTTGCAGCCCACATCAGGATGCATTTGTATTTGAACGAAGGGATGCAGAAGAGAGTCCAAGTTTACTTCTACTTGGCTTTCTTCCAAAGTTCCTCTCAAGTGTGGAAGATTTATCCCTGAAAAGAAATTTGTTGGCATCTCTGTAAATTTGTAGAACTCTACAATGTGTATTAAGAATAATTAGGTCAGGTGGCAGTAACTAGTTCATCAACTTTAGAATTATGCCTCAGATTTGCAGCAGGCTTTGCTTTTTTCTTCCTGGTGGCCCACCCAGAGCAGCTGGTGCTTGTGGTCATTTCTGTTTCCCACATTACACAGGTTGGCAGCACTAGCAAACGGGAGGGCGTTCGGACAGTCCCGGGTTAGTGTGTCAGCAGCGATAGGCTTCCCGCCCTGCGGTTGAGGTGTGAATACGGGTCTTCACACAATACCCACCTTTTCACCCCTTTTGATTCTGTAAATACAGATGGTTATCCGAAACGAACAGACAGGAAATCCGGAATCGTTGAAAAAAGTGGATCTGCCTCCAAACCTGAGTTTGAATTTAGCAGGTTGGACTTTCCTGAACTGCAGGGTCCAGAGCACAGTGAGATCTCAGAGACAGAGAAGCATTCCAAGTGGGGGCCTCTGCGCTCCGCCTCCGCTGACCTGTCTCTTCTCCGAGAGGTGGTGAAACCCGCCGTGGTGACAGCGGAGGTGAGTGCAGGGCCTCCTCTCTGTTTCCCTCCTCCTCTTCTCTACCTTCCTTCTTTCTCCCTGCACACCTTTGCAGGTGCCTCACGGTGCACTGCATCTTCCTGTGAGGGCCTGGCTTCCTTGTGAGGACCTTCTGCTTGGACTCCTCCCAGCCTGGCGTGGCCCCCAGTACAGCTGTTCATTTAAAAGAATCACCTGATGAGCTTCCTGGTGCTTTCTAGCTACAGGGGACAGAGGTCGGATTCCGGCACGGGTCCCGCTGTGTAGACAGCCCCTGGTGATCACCTCACTCCCAGCATTGCATTCCGACAGCATGTTTACAAGCACAAACAGATTGTTTTAATCCAGCAGTAATAGGTCAAACTGCATAGGGTAGCCTCTGATTTTTCCAGGCTTTTTATCCATATCTCTCTCATTGATGAGATCACAACCTCAGCAGAAGTAATCACTGTGTGTTTTGTTTGCCACTTAATGATTTTAAAATATGCTGTGTTCCACATTTGGTCTTGGAGTTTTAGTCCGTCCGGGTTCCAGGAAAAAACGACATGAGGTTAGTAGTCCCTAAGGTGGCTTCTCACTGATTTCTGCCGAGAGAGGGTGGGAGGGCAAGGAGAAGGAGGAGACAAGGAAGGAGACAGCTCCCCCATCCACGTACCTCTTGAATGGAGTGGGGACTTGGATGCACTTGGGTGCCTGGACACTGCCGACCAGAGAGGGGCAGGGTGGTTGGTAGTGTGCACATGGTAGCCCGTTCCGCACGCGGTGACCCTGACGCTGTGTGCCACAGCGCTTCCCTGTGGCTTAACTGTGACGAGGAAGGCAGGCTGGCAGGCTGGCCAGCTGGCATAGAAGAATCTGGTTTGGCAGCCGTGGGACCCTTTGGTCCCGGCTGAGTGTGTGGAGTAGCTGAGCCATCGAGGGGCTCCACGTCTGCCTCCCTGGTGGTCAGTGCATAACCCAAGCCTGTGAGCGCTCTATGGAAGTAGGACAGGCCGCCAGGGAGCTGTGGCGGGGTGTGACCGACCCGTTCTGTCGTGTTCCCGGTCACACATGTGCGTCTGGACACGAAGTGGGGCATGTGGCGCTGTGAGGAGGGGTACAGACTCCTTGCCTGAGGATGTGTTCACACTCTTGAGTTACATGCGGACTTTTAATTTTTCCTTCTAGAAGAAACTTTTTTCCCTATTATCGTAGTAGTATCTTAAACGTGAGAAATATTTAAAAGAAAATAAACAGTTGACCTTGAACAACACAGGTTTGAACTGCATTAGACGTGGATGTTTTTGAAAAACACAGGACAGTACTGTAAACGTATTTTCTCTTCCTTGTGATTCTCTTAATGACGTTTTCTTTTCTTTAGCTTACTGTACTGATAGGATATGGTATATAACACATATTACATGCAATATGCATGTTAACTGTTTATGCGATCAGTCAGGGTTCGGGTCAATAGTAGGCTGTTAGGAGTTGTTTTTGGGGGTTCAGAAGTTCCATGTGGAGTTTTGGCTCTCCGGGGGTCAGCACCCCAACCCCCTTGTCGCTCAAGGGTCACCTGTAATTGTCTGAGGTTGTACAAGAGAAAACCATGTTAAGCACTTAAATCTTTTTTTTTTTTTTTAAAGATTTTATTTATTTATTTGAGAGAGAGAATGAGAGAGAGAGAGAGCACATGAGAGGGGGGAGGGTCAGAGGGAGAAGCAGACCCCCCGCTGAGCAGGGAGCCCGATGCGGGACTCGATCCTGGGACTCCAGGAGCATGACCTGAGCCAAAGGCAGTCGCTTAACCAACTGAGCCACCCAGGCGCCCTAAGCACTTACATCTTTTTTTAATGGTACATTGTGAGGATTGAGGGGATTCCCCTCAGTTTGAAGTTATGTATGGCTTTGTGTTTGAGTTTTTAAAACTTTTGGCATTTTTCCATGTCATCGAGTAATTTTTGAAAATCTGTTGTATTGAATCTTTATGGATATGTGTAATTTATGTAATTGTTCTTGGACAGGTAAGCCATGGTGAGCATGTAAGTTTTATTAAAAGAGCGGACTGTGTTTCAATAATTTTATTTTTTGTTACTGGGCTCAGGTTTAATGAAATGGCAAAGTGGGAAAAGTTTTGAAGGGTATGAGCTTTAGAATCTAAGTCCATTCAGATTTGAATGGATCAGTTTCCTTTTGCAGTGAATGCCCTGGTCACCCTGAGGTCACCCTGTGTCCTCACCCGCCCCCGTGTCATTTGCTGCCTCACGTTCCATGAACGTTTGTTGGCCCTGTGGACTTCCTGATGGATGTTTTGGAAGTTTGGTGCGTGGGCATGGTGAACAGTGCCCCCCCCCCCCCCCCCCCCCCCGCAGGGGCGCTGCTGCCTCGGGTGGCAGGGGCACACATGTGCTGATGCAGAACTTGTCTGTCACGTACTGATCTTTCACAGGTTACGTGGTACGCCTGCTGTGTCCTCTTAGTGGGGCCGTGTAGAAACAGCACACAGGTGTTTCTGCCAGGGGGTACTGCAGGCTCAGCTGACACTGTGGGTGGTTTCTCCTGTAAGGAGTGAAATTTGGTATTACGTTTGTTTTTACTTTTTTTTTTTGTAGAGAGAGCTGGAGGGAAGGGGGTGTGGCGGGAGGGGCAGAAGGAAAAGGAGATAGAGAATCCTAAGCAGGTTCCACCCCCAGTGCGGAGCCCAACGCGGGGCTCAATCTCACGACCCTGAGATCATGACCTGAGCCAAAACGAAGAGTCCGGATGCTCAATGGACTGAGTCACCCAGGCACCCCTGGAATTTTTAATTAGCATATATTTTGGAGATTTTACGAATGGCAAGGGAAGCTATATTTAAAATTTAAGTGATTACTTTCAATTTGAAATAGTAAGAAGATGCTGGTTTGCTTTTTAGGGTGAAGGGGTGGTGAGAAGCACGGATGCAGCGGAGACCATGACCGGCAGCGCTGCGGCTGATCCTGCCTCCTGTACCAGAGGTAAGAGGAGCTGCCACAGCTTTAAGTTGCCAGTGCCCTGTTTTCCAAGTTCACTTTTAGTTCAGTGCAATGGAAATGTTTTTGTTTTAAAGCCTTCTTTAAGACAGCTGATGGGTTGTGAACAAACTGATCTCACTGTGAGAGAAGCTGGGAGTAAGTACACAAGATCCCCCATCAGTGTGCAGGGAGTGTAAAGTAAGAGCAAAGAATTCTAAATGAAATGTGTCCAGTTTGTCCAGTTAAGGGAGAAATCTTATGAACTCAGAAATGATTGCTTTCTTAAGTATAGCCTACACCAGTGGTTCTCAAAAGTTTTAGGTATCAGGACCCCTTAACACCCTTTAAAAAGCCCCAGAGAGCTTCTATTTATTTGCATGATAGCGATCAGTACTTGTAATATCTAAAGTTAAAACTGAGAAATTCTAAAAATTACTTTGTAATTCTCATACAAGTAACAATGATAAACCCACTACCTGTTAACATAGCATGTATTTTTTTTTAAGATTTGTTTATTTGAGAGAGAGGGAAAGAGAGGCAGAGGGAGAGAGAATCTCAAGCAGACTCCCTGCCGAGCGTGGAGCCCGACATGGGGCTCGATCCCCGGACTCTGAGACCGTGACCTGAGCTGAAGTCATGAGTCACACGCTCAACTGACTGAGCCACCCAGGTGCCCCAACATAGCATATTTTTATGAAAAATAACTTTCCAAAGTTAGATTGTAGTGAGGAGAGCAGCCTTGTTTTACATCTTTGCAACTCTTTACCGACTGGCTCAGTAGCGTGGTGGTTTCACTGTCCCGTGTCATGCAGCCTCCTGAAAACCTCGCTGGACACTCAGGACAGAATGCAGGGAGGCTCAGCGCCCGCTCCTTCCGTCAGGAAAATGGTTTTGATGCTTCGGACCCCTCAAAGGGTCTTGGGAGCTTCAGACCATTATTAGAGATCTGGCCTGACTGTCCCAGAAGTGACATCTTCAGAGAGAGTTCAGTAATTCTGCCTCTAATTTTTCGGAGTAGCTTGTCCTAACAAGACATTTTTACAGAAGTATTCCAGTTGTATTCACAAGTGTGTTTTCTTTTGCATTCTCACGTGTGGTAAATGTGTGGTTCAGTAAAAATCTTCACTTACGAGGCGACTTGAGTGGTGTGTCGGTCTGGTACAGAAGCAGCCTGTCTGGCCTGGGGGGGGATGCTGCCTGCGGTCAGCCCGGGTCCTCTTCTTGTGGGCGCCTAAGGAGTAACGTCGCTGTAGTTAGGCCTGAGATCTAAGAAGAAAGAAATTACCACTTGCTGTGGTAGCTGAGGTCCATGATTTTTGACTTACGGTGTTAATGGTACATAACAAGATGTGTTAGGGCCAAAATTTGATCTTTGCCCTATTAATTTTTGTGTGTTTGCCACTTGGATTTAATTGTGGATTATTATTTTTTAACTAAAACTATAATTCGTCTACCCACCTGCACCCCAAGTTAAAAATCCAGTTGCTAGGAAAATCACGCAGCCTACAAGTTAATTCTGCATGCGTGTTCCAAGAAGAAAGCTTAGCAAATGCTCTAGTTTCCAAGAGAATGTTTTGAGCACCAGTCTAAATTTAATTATGCTCTGAGTAATGACCTCATGTAATACATGTTTAGAATTTCTAAGTATTTTTATTTTACTGTTGAGATTGTTCAACAACTTTGGTTATCTTTGAGCAGAGTTATCTTGGACACCAATGGGTTATGTTGTTCGGCAGACATTATCTACAGAACAGTCAGCAGCCCCTAAAAACGTTACTTCCATGATAAACCTAGAGATGGTCGCTTCGTCAGCAGACTCTAAAAGCGTTAGTATGTCACCTCCTGAAGTTTTATCTTCGGATCCTTCCTACAAAGAGAAACACATCCACTCTGCTAAAAAGGTATGTGTCACATTTGGGTTATGTTGATCTTCTGTGCCACTGAATAGTCTTTTTATCTCGGATCCTAACAAAGTGTTTCATTCTGTACTGTAGTCGCTAATTTGAGTTGGTTGTATAGAACCTCAGTCAGGGAACACAAGTGGTAGCTTTTTGAGTAAGGGCCGATGTAGATTTTACACCCATGGTCTTAAAACATCTGTGAACCATTTTGAAGTCTTTAAAGAAGAGATGCTGGCAGAAGTTCATGCTCTGGTGTATAAAGTCCTGCGTTTTTCCCCCCTCGTCTTTCATCTGTTGAATTTAAATTGCTTTTACCTACTAAGGTAAGGGCGGGAAGACAACTGAATTCCACCTTTTGTGGTCATCTGGTATATGTTACTGATTCTTAGTTAGTTGCAGCTTATCTTAAGATAGCATTTCAGAATCCATTTTTCCCTTTTAATTCAAATAATTTTAAGTTGTCATTTTCATCGGTCCCTAGATTTATTTCTCCACAAGCCTTTTTTATTGGTCTAAATTTTGTTCTTGATTTTCATTGTGTATTGATACATTATTTTAGGTGGAAATATGGCCACGTTTGTTGAGTGCAGTGATGCCCTTTTTGAGTAAGAGGACACTTTCTGTTACCCAGAGTGTCATAGACCACCCCCCACAAATGGAAGCTGTGTGTTGACGGTCTGTTGACGGTCTGTTGATGGAGGGAAGGTGTGCTGACAGTTACGGCGAGGTCAGACCTGTATGCTTGTCCTCACGGCTTTATGAACAATGTGAAGGACACCGGAGTTGCGGGCGAGTCCCCCTCTGAGTACACGTGGCGCTACCAGCTGTGGGCATGAGGGCCCAGGCGACACGGCAGGGCTCGGGCTGGGGCCGCCCCTTGGCTGCTGTCTCGCTGTCTGAACCAGAGTTCCTCATGCACAATTAAGATTCTCAGAGATAATATTAACGTTTTTTATTTTCTTAGAACCTTTTTTTTTAAGATTCCATTTATTTATTTATTTGAGAGAGAGACAGCGGGAGCTGGGAGCCCAACGCAGGGCTCAGTCCCAGGACCCTGGGATCATGACCTGAGCCGAAGGCAGACACTTAACCAACTGAGCCACCGAGGTGCCCCTAAAATTGGTTTTTAATTATAAGTGTAAGAAAAGTTTATTTTAGAAAAGTTCTAAGATAAAGACAAGAAAATCGCCTGTAGTCTCACAACCCAGGGGACATGCTCTCCTTGTGTAATGGGGATGGTAGGATCACGATGGTTTTCCCCTCTGAAACTCTGTGTTGTGAGTTCTTATTACCGAAATAGCAAATGTAATACCACAAAGACCTACTCATGAAGGAGGTCATCTTCCCTTTGTTGCCCACCTCTCAGAAGCCTGCATTAACAACTGGGTATATATCTACCTCAGGCTCCTCAGAATGTGAACAAATAGAGGTTAGTTTTTTAAGTTTTTTTTTTTTTTTTCTTTTAAACAAAAATGAGACCATTTTACACATCTCATCCTTCAAAGTTGCTTTTTCACTTATGGACAGGTCCTTTAGGTTAGGAGGTAAACATTCTTTCCAGTAGCCACTGGAGGGTAAGTCCCCACTGGGGATAAAACAGAAAGGCCCTGCTCTCTTAGCGCCTCCATTCTGATAGACCAGCGTGGTGTAGACTGGTGGTGATTGGTGGTGCTTCAGAGGGGACGGAGAGGGACAGGCTGCATGGAGGTGGGACTATCCTTGAACTGGAGTGAGGGCACAGTCCTGGCCTGGATCCAAGTGTGGGTGCATATGCAGAGGCCCTGAGGCCAAGGTGCATTTCACCTGACTTGAGAGGGAGGGTGGGAGCTGTGGGGTCACATTCAGCAGGTGTGGGATGGGCCCACACATTTGTCTGGTTTGAGGGCTCCACAGGGGTTTCAGATGTGTGATCAGGTTTAAGGACCACTGGGCCATGGTGTTAGAAATGGCTCACTCGGATTTATTTTTTTTACTTTATTTTTAAAGATTTTATTTATTAGAGGGAGGGAGTGCGCGCATGTGTGCACATAAGCAGGGGGAGCGGCAGGCAGGCAGAGAGAGAAGCAGACTTCCCTCTGAGCAGGGAGCCCAATGCAGGGCTCGATCTCAGGACTCTGGGATCATGACCTGAGCCGAAGGCAGACGCTTAACCAACTGAGCCACCCAGGCACCCCCAACACACTTGGGTTTATGAAAAGACTTCAAGTTGGTATTAGAGACGTTAAAATAATATTCTCTGGTTTGGAGTAGGTATGTCCAAATCTACCAGTTTCAAAATAATTGGATACGACAGCTTTTTCAACAGATTTCTTTTCCTTGAGAAGTACTCTACTGAATGCTGGGTCTTTGGAAAATAGAGATGAGGAGCCAAACTCTGAACAAAGTTGCCATGTGGTTAAACAACTTGGTATCTCAGGTTTGCTCTGATTCATGGAAGTAAACATTCTATTGAATGTCTTAAAAACCCATGATTTTTGCTGTGTTTTTTGTTCTGTCAAGTCCAAAGCATCACAAGGTGGCGATCCTGAACAGAATGAAGCCTCAAGAAAGCATAAGAAAAAGAAAGAAAAGTCTAAATCAAAATATGAAGTCTTGACCGTTCAGGAACCACCAAGGATTGAAGTACATTTCTATTTATTACTCACCTTTTATGATACAATGAATGGGCCTGCCCTAATAGAAATACAGATTCATACGGGCTTCCTAAGTGAAAATCTCCAACATTCCCTTTGATAATCTTTGCCCAGTGCTAAAGAGAATAGCCGTCCCCCATACTCTTCGCTTTGGCGGCCCAGCTCAGTGGCTGAGTCCTAGTGGGCACCCGGCGAGCGGGTGTGTGCGTGAGTAGTCGAGAGGGGTACTTGTGTGGAGATCTAGTGGTGTGCATACTGTAGTGCTCATACTTACTCCTTAGTACCTTGTTCACCTGTTTTTCCTTGCTTTGGCATGCTGGCTTTTGCAGGGTCTCCTTTTCTATCCAGAAATGTGAATGTAATGTACCTCACTCTAGAGAGAAATTAGAATCCCATAGCTCCATCATGGGCCCTGGCCAGGAGAATTGCACAAACTTGCAGTAGCACTCTGTGAACTGTTTTCTTGTGGTACCGCAAGATAGCCCCTGTCCTGCAAGGAGTTGCCCTGGGTTCAGACTCAATACCAGACTCAACAGCCTGGCTCCGGGTGCTCAGCTCTGCTGCGTGCCATCCGGCTTAGGGCCAAACCTGAGAGTGTCCCACAAACCTGAGGGCTCCCAGGGCTCTTGGCACACTCCCTGAGGACACTAGGGTTCCATGTGTGAAGGCCTACGATCCTGGCAGAACATTATGGTTTGGGCCAACAAGTAATTCATAGAGTTCTGCTCCCATATCCCACATAACTTCTCTGAGTCACCTAAAATGCTAAGAAAAGCACGTCAGATGTTTTTAAATGACTTCAACATCGTCATTAGAGGCCTGTTGCCCTATTTTGTATTTTATTTCTATTTTCTAGCCTGGGAGCAGCCCACGGGACAGGGTACTTCCATCACCTGAGTCTAGACTGACAATTACTCTGACGGAAACACAGTTGAAGGCTGGGTGCTTGAACACGTTTGTGCCCGGGGGTCCGGGGCATCTGCGTCCTCAGGGGCCCGCCCGCCTGCTCTCCAGGGCAGTGGGATTAGAACTGTGGTCTTTAAATCTGTTTCTAAGAGTAAAACAGTTTGGGGGCTGTTTTAGATCCCCTTCGAACTCTGTGGGAGCCTGTTACAGACAGAGAACACGGGCAAGGAACAGCTTGCACGTGGCACACTTGACTCTTGTGATCTGCGAAGAGCTAAAGGGTGTGTGGTTTACTTAGGATGCCGAGGAGTTCCCCAATCTGGCAGTTGCGTCTGAAAGAAGAGACAGAGTAGCATCTCCGAACTTTCAGTCCCAGCAGCAGCCGCAGGTAATTTTTAGATTGACCCTGTTGTTGCTTTAGGCCTAACTTTTCTTGCTCAACTAAACTCTCGAGAAAAACTCTTTTCCAGACTTCTTTATGTACCAAGAAAGGTGGTTTGGGTTTGATTTCTTCCTTTACTGGAGAATCACATGCAGGGTGTCGGCCTACAGTTGCTGTAGGTGCACGCGTCTGTCACCTTCGTGAGAAGACCGCTGGTAGCTACCATGCTACGTCAGAAAGCGGGGAGCACGGGCTGCTGGGGGTCTTGGACGCAAAGCTAAAAGGTTGCCTGTGTATTCGGGAAACAGGAGTTTCTTTGTGAGGCAGCAGTGTCTGACAAAACAAAATAAGGAGACCCCCCCCGCCCCCCACCGCAGATTCAACTCTAAGCGGTCAGTACAAGGTGAAGAGAGGACTCTCCTTGAGCCCCCTGCCCCGCTGTGGATTCGTCATCCAGGTGGAGAACTTGCACACTTGGTCCCATTTCTTCACTGGTCTCCAGCATCCTCACTGCCATTTTGCCTTCTCAAGTGGGGGCATTATTTTCACATCTGTGAGAAGTAAAATTCTAAACGTTGTGCAGATTCACTGGAATTCCCGTGGTATAGCGTGGTCCTCTTCCGTCCCTGGCGTGGAGTCTCTGTAGCTGCTGCGTGGCACTCTGGGCTCGCCCGTTGACGGGGCCCTCGGCCGGGCCGGAGGGCAGGGTGGATGTGCTGAGCGCATGCGTGCGGCAGCTTGCCTCGGCAGCTTTTCACACGGCCTCAGGCCCCAGAAAACAGCTCTTTGAAGTAGAGCACGCTTCGTGCCTAATTTCATACCTGCTGCGTGCATTTTGGACTTGTGTAAATTCTTGGTCGTATCCCCGTGATTCCATGGCATTCGATCGGCTCCTCCAGGCAGTTGGAGGCTGTGTGGTACCGAGGAGACAGTAACACCGATCGGTTAGCCTCACGCACGGACTCCTGTTGCCAAAGGCTCCGCACAAGTCCTGGTTTCTTCCCTGCAGGTGTGTGCTCTTCTTCACAGTGCAGATGCAGACAGAGAGAAACCCAGGGCTAGGAGAGAAGGAGGAGATAAAGAACCACGGCAGTCACATTGGAAGATAATGTGGGATTATCTGGGTTTTTCTTTAATTTTTTAAAGATTTTTTTTTTAATGGTCACTATAAATAGATTTCATTTTATCTTTTATATGGCTTTTTGTCATAAAACAAAAAGCACACTTGTAAAATATCCTATCCTAAGAAAACTTCTGATTTTTTAATTATTTAGAATAATTTTAAAAATAGTGGAAAGAAGAGCCAGATTCCAGTACAGTTGGATTTGGGAGGAATGCTGGCAGCCCTGGAGAAGAAGCAACACTCACAGAGTGCAACGCCGTCCTCCAGACCTGTGGTGGTCTCAGGTAAGAGCGGAGCGGCTCTTTGTCTCTGGGGAAATGGGTGAGAGTCTCTTCCAGATAGGCTGCTCTGTGACTGTCTTACCTTTAATCAGAACAGCATGGTACTGGGATATAATGGAATAGGTTGGGAGTCCAGAAATAAACCCACATATCTCTGGCCAGTGAATTTTTGACCAAAATATGTTCATTAAGAGAACAAGGAGCGGTTTTGAAAAATGGTGCTGGGACAGCTGGATTTCCATGTGCCAGGGAAAGCTGGGCTTCTGCCACACACTGTATGCGTGGTTAAAGTGGAACAATGACCTAAATATAAACACTAAGCCCAAAAAACCCTTAGAAAAAAACAAAGGTGGGGCGCCTGGGTGACTCAGTCGGTTAAGTGTCTGGCTCTTGGTTTCAGCTCAGGTTGTGATCTCAGGTGGGGCTCCATGCTCAGTGGGGAGTCTGCTTGAGATTCTCTCTCCAAAAAAAAGAAAGAAAAAAAACAAAGGTAAATTTCATGACTTAGGATTAGGCAGTGAATTTTTAGCTAGGACACCAAAAGCACAGGCCACAAAAGCAAAAATAAATAGGATTTCATCAAAAACAAGAACTTTTGTGTACCAGAGGACATTATCAAGAAAATGAAAAGATAATTTACTTACGGAAGGCGAGAAAATGTTTGCAAATCATATATCTGATAAGGATTTGATGTCCAGAGATCTGCGAACTCCTCCTACAGCTCAACAATAAACACCCACTGAAAAATAGGCAAAGGACTTGACATTGCTCCACAAGAAGATACACACATGGCCAGTAACACATGGAAAGATGCTCAACATCATTAGTCCCTAGACGAATATGAGCCAGCACCACAGGGAGATAGTTCTTCATACCTGCTATGGTAGCTGTGGTCCAAAACATGGAAAATAACAGGTGTTGGCAAGGATTTGGAGAAAGTGGAGACCACTGGGAAACGGGAGAGGGTGAGACCACTGTGGGAGGCAGTCTGGCAGCTCCTCAGAACGTTATGTAGGGGGGTTGCCGTGTGCCCGGCAATTCCCTACTCCATGTGCACCCAGACACTTGCAGGCCAGCGCTCATAGCAGCATTATTCCAAATAGTTAAAAGTGGAGACGCCTCCAAATGTATATCAGCACAAATGGGTAAACAGAGTGTGGTCCAGCCATACAGTGGACTGGTACTCAGCCTTAAAAGGAAGGAAGTTCTGCCACCTGCCGTGACATGCGGAAACGTGAAAACTAATTCTGCTAATGAAATCAGCCAGCACAAAAGGGCCCATGCTACATGAGAGATCTAGAATAGACAAGTCACAGAAAGGGCTAGAGGGTACCTGGGGTTGAGGGTATGGGGAGTTACTGATTCGTGGGGACAGACTTTTAATTTGGGGCACGAAAAATTTTGGGGAATAGGTGGGGGTGATGGTTGCACAACATTGTGAATGTAATTGATGCCCCTGAATTGTGCGCTTAGGAATACTTAAAATACTAATTATTGTAAGTTACTTAAATACGATGAGTTTAAGAAAGGGCAGTTAAGTGGTGTAACACTTATGTGGTCATGAGCCTAAAATATTTACTCCCTGGTCCTTTAGGAAAAGCTGGCTGGCCCTGATCTGTCCACCCATCGGTATTTTATTTTTTGGGGGCATTTCAGGGTTGCAGACCTTGGCCGATGTCACCTCTCAGTGCTGCAGCGCGTGTGACATTGACTAGCATTTATGGTTCTTGTCTTTGGAGGTGAAGCATGCGTATGGTGAAACGCACAGATCTTAGGGATGCCCTTTGCAGAGTATCCCAGCCTCCGTCAGCACCCTTGGAAGCTCCCTTGGCCCTGCCCAGCAGGTTCCTGCTGGGCCCCAGGCAGCCCCGTGCCTGTTCTTTGTCACAGATTTCCTTTTCCCTGTTGTAGAGCTTCACAGAAATGGGATCCTGCAGTGTATGCTCCTTCGTGTAAGGCTTCCTTCACTCATCAGGGTGTTTTTGAGATTTACTCCTGTTTGTGTGTGTGTGTGTGTGTGTGTGTGTGTGTGTGTGTAGTTCCTTTTTGTTTTTTGTTTTTATTTATTTATTTTTTTAAAGATTTTGTTAGAGAGGGGCGCCTGGGTGGCTCAGTTGGTTGGGCGACTGCCTTCGGCTCAGGTTCATGATCCTGGAGTCCCGGGATCGAGTCCCGCATCGGGCTCCCTGCTCGGCAGGGAGTCTGCTTCTCCCTCTGACCCTCCTCCCTCTCATGCTCTCTGTCTCTCATTCTCTCTCTCGCAAATAAATAAAATCTTAAAAAAAAAAAAAAATTAAAAAAAAAGATTTTGTCAGAGAGCATACGCACGCACGCACAAGCAGGGGGAGGGGCAGAGGGAGAAGCAGGCTTCTCTGCTTGAGCAGGGAGCCCAGTCATGACCTGAGTGGAAGGCAGACACTTCACTGGTGCCCCGCTTTTTTGTTTTTTATTCAGGTGAAATTCAAGTAACATAAAACTACTGATTTTAAGGTGTATAATGCAGTGGTGTGGAGTTCATCCACAGTGTTGTGTAGTCTCGTTTTTCTGGTTCCACACTTTTTCATCCTGCGAAAAGGAGACCCCTGCCCACTAAGCTCCCCATTTCCCCAGCCCCTAGCAACCCCCAGTGTGCATTTTCTCTGTGGATTTTCCTGTTCTGACGTGTTACGTAAATGGAATGGTACAATTTGTGACCTTTTGTGTCAGTCTCTTTTCTTTCTTTTTTTTTTAAAGATTTTATTTATTTATTAGAGAGAGAGCACAAGCAGGGAGAGGGACAGAGGGGGAGTGGCAGAGGGAGAGAGAGAAGCAGGATCCCCACTGAGCAGAGAGCCTGATGCGGGGCTCGATCCCAGGACCCCGGGATCATGACCTGAGCCGAAGGCAGACGCTTAACCGACTGAGCCCCCCCAGGCGCCCCGTGTCGGTCTCTTTTCACTTGGGAGAGTGTCTTGGACTTTCGTCCGTGTTCCTGCGTCAGCATTTGGCTAGTTTTTGTGGCTGAATCCTATTCCTTCAGCCACGGTTTGTTTGCCCATTCATCCCCTGACGGACATTTAGGTTGTCTCCACCTTTGGCTGTTGTGAATAGTACCTTGGTGCTGTTCAGGTACCGGTGTTTGAGTATCTGTTCTTGATTCCCGTGGGAGGGAACTGCTGGGCCACGTGGTGGGGTATGTTTACTTTATAAATCTGCCAGACCTTTTCCCATACCGCGTGTGTGCTATCTTACGCTCACCAGTAGTGTGTGGACTCTGCTGCTTCCACATCCTCACCAGCATTTGGTCATGTCCGTGTCACTTGTAGCCTTTCTCGGGGACCGGGCTGGAGGTGGCATATTTTTGAAGCTGAAAATTCGGAATGCCGTGGGTCATTTTTGTACGGGCTGCTGGATGGTATGCAGCGAGCATTCCTGAATAGCATTCTCATGGCTGCCGTACGAGGAAGCTTACGTGGCACTTTGAGAGTGGCGTCACCCCCAGCCCAGCACACAGCCTTACAGTTCTGAATGCAGTTAATTGAGCTGAAACACAGCGGCTGAGGCAGCAGCAAACAGCGTGTCCCTCGTGCCTCTGTTTCTCCCCGACGCTGCGTTCCCAGGCGCCGTGTGGGAGCGTGCCGAGAGCGCGGGCTCTGGGCCTGTCTCGGACTTTGGTCAGGTGCAGTGAAATCCCTGGGGCTGGGGCCAAGGTTGGGGAAGGGGTGTTTTTAGCAAGCACACGGGAGGATTTGTTGTTCCGTCCTCTTTTTTTTACTTTTCGTTATGGGAAATAACCAAAGGTAGAGAGTGCAGTGAGGCCTGTCACACGAGTGTTTCCCAGCTCCCGTGGTTGTCAGCATTGTGCCGCTCTGGTTGTGTCTGTGACCCAACTTTTAAGTTTTCTGAAGTGCTTCTAAGCACCTGGTAGACGTTACATCATTTCCTGTGTAAGTACGTCCGTTGGCATGTCTGACTGGCAGTGGCTGTGTGTTTCCACGGACCACCCGGCCATCCTCCGACGGTGTTAGTGCTTGTTTCTCACTAGGGTCTACTCTCCAGTCTGTATTTAAATTTCCTTGGTTGTCTCAGTGATGTCGGTAATTTTATTGGTAGCAGGATCCACAGTTGGGGTACATTGCGAGTCTGAGTGACTAGTAGACACACCAAAGCTTGGGACCACTGCCCCTTTGGGTAGTCTTCCCTGCGCATTGCTTTTCTCAGCTCATTTGGGAAAGGCCTCTAGGGCTTTGCTTGTAGACAAGTGTTGTTTTCAGACTAGTGCAGGTGCTTTGGTAGGAGGTGATAATTTATGGGTTACCGATGGGCAGAGTCAGCTTTTCCTCGGCAGTTAGTTTTGGGCTTGTTCTGTATTTTTTGCTGAGGTGGTGAGTCAGGTGTGGCCACAAGAGGAGATAGAAGAGAGGCTCAGGAAAACGCAGTTTATAATAGTCCCAGGTTCTAAAGACAGGAGGCACAGCCACCTGGGCAAGCACCAGCGTAGATGGCAGGCAGAGGACAGAAGCAAAGGGAGGCTTTAGGCTGGAGCCTTTGTTGGGGTTTCCATGGGCAGGAAAGGGTGCACTGTTTAGGACTGGTCAGTTTGAATAATTGCGATGAGCCCTGCGCTAGAGGTATCCCTGGTTGCCCCGCCCCTGGCCCTGGGATGATTAAGGGATGTTGCCTGCTGGCTGCACAGGCCAGAGGAGGTCTGGATCTGGGTGGACTAGTTTGCTATCAGCCATGTTCCAGGCTGGACCCTTTGGTATCTCTAAGAGTCAGCGGGCCCAGGAGGGGCACTCTCCTTAGCTGTGAAAGCCTTTAAGATGTCAAAACATCATGATAAACAGAAAATACACAAACATAATGCAGGGCTTCAGTCATGGGTCACAGCAGAAGTTACTTTAGCCTTATGTTTTTCAGAGCAGGTATTTGAGTAACCTGCATCAGCCTCAGAGAAATCGGGAAGACTTTCAGCCACCCCTCTGATTCTGCAGAATATAGCTTCCTGGGGAGCCTGCAGGGGG